TTGGCGCCCAACGGCAATTATTGATGGTCGCTGGAAATGTCGAGAAATCAAAACGCAATAATAAGCCACTATCTCTCATTCTCTGCGAACAATGAGGTTATGTTGTTGTTGTTATCGACGTCATTGTTAACTTGTCGACACATAAGGATTAAATGGCAGTGCCTCCCTCCCCCTTCATTCCTCCCTTCCGGCGACCATTGAAAATCCATAAACAAATCAATCTAAGACACTTGCAGCATAATTACAACGTAATAACATATAAACAGACAATAGCTAGCTGGGTATGGGAAGGGTTTGCGGCGGGCAATACGCCATTACTTTTCTCCAATCGCCTAAGCCCCAAATAAAACACCCACAAAACGATGGCAATTGTGGGGTTCGTTTTCGTGTTTAAAATGGAATACTCGGCGACAACAATTTCAATCAAAGAGTGTTCATAAAATTTAATTGTGAGAGGGGGGTTTGAAGAGGGGCAAGAGAGAGCCACTCTATCATATGGCGTTGTCTAAAAATAAATCAAAACAAAGGCATTCCCCCAAACACTCACTCACTCACACCACAATGCAACCTCACTCCACTCTCGGCAATATTTTTTGCACATTTCGTTCGTTTGCTCTCTCAGTCCATATACAAATATTTCTCTCTCCCTCTCTTTGTGTTTTGTGTGCCAATGCTGGCTCCATTTTATTAAATTTATTGCTCTCGATGTATGAGTGTGGTTGAGTTTCAATTGCTGTGTGGTCGTCGGCGAACAATGGCTGTTGCCGGTGTTCGTTGTTGTCTGAAGCCATACTAGAATTTCTGAGAGCCTAATGAAATGCTTGCTCGTGTTCAGACGCGAATTTTACGTGATGCTCGCACGTAAGTTACCCGTTGTTAAACGGTGTCGCTCACTCGCAACCACTACTGCTTGGTGGGGCTAGCTGGTCCGTTGTTTTTGTTGGTTGGCTGGTTGGGCTTCTTACACGGGAGATTACTACTACTGACTGTGCCAGGCCGACGATGTGCGCTCGTCAGGCGCGCACCCAACGCAACACCGTGCCGTGCCATCAACTAAGTCATCAGTGCTGCTGCTGCTGTTAGCTAGTTCGTTGTTGTTAGTTGGCCATGCATGCCGGATGACAGACAGGCAGGCAGGCAGGCAGGCCGGCAGAGTCATTTCTGACTACAGCTACTTAATGGCAAATATTTCTGGTGGATTATGCGCTTTTACGTGTTAAATTGTATAAATTGTGCTCACAAGTCCCCCCAAAAGTACCAACCAACCAACCAGACACATGTACACAACACATGTCTGTTTAGCTGTCAGCCTGCCCATCCATTCGCCTACAATACCTACACCTGATATACCAAGCGGCAACGAAGCCAGCAAAAGCAGCTGGTCGTGTCATCCATCCATTTGTGTCGTCACCAAAAGAAACAACAACAACAAAAGAATGTGAGAGCATGCGGTTGGGGTCCACACAAATTTCTTTTGTTGGGAGAGAGAAATAGAGGAAATGTGAGTGAGAGAGAGAGAGAGTTCTTTTCAATTTCCCCCATTTGTTTTTGTTGCTGTTGTTTGGTGTTCGCCGACTGTTGGGGTTCATGGAGCGAGCACACACATCAACAAAACGGAACATTATTTTGCTAATTTCGCTTGTTTTGTGAGAGAAAGCAAATTGATGATACAGGAGAACCTCGCTTATGTGGAAAACTATTAAAAATAATTTTTAATGGCCGGAGTTGGATGGTATTGATCTGAACAGCATCTATTTTCAACAAGACAAGCTACGCGCAATTCAAGCAATGAAACCATCGCGTTTTTGCGTGAAAAGTTTTCAGTCCGTGTTATTTATCGGAGAGGTGCTCAGTATTGAACACCTAGATCCTCTTGAGGAAAGGAGCGGGAAGCATACCCAAGTCTGCCAATGCCAAAAATTTACAGGATTGTCCGGGACATCATCAAAGCGTAGACCAAGGCTTTGATCCTATCGATGAAAGTAGCAGGAAGCATATCCAAGTATGCCAAGACCAGTTAGGCAATACCGAACATGTACAGGATTTTTCGGGACATCATCAAAGCTGCTGCCGCTCGCTATATATACCTACCGATCGAATACTCGAAATAAGACCAAATTTCCCAGTAGAAGCAGCGAGAACAGCGAATGAGCTTTGGCGTACCAACCTCACTAATTCCAGAGTCAGTGAACTGACAGAGGATGTCAAGAGGTTGGTACAAGAGTATAAGCGGAAAAAGTGACTGGGCCATCTGTAGTAGAATTCTCTAACTCATTTTTTTCGAGTTACCGACCAAAGTCGGTAAAATTAAAATACTTATTTTGGTAATAACCGAAATTTTTAGGCAAGTAAGAGAAAAATTAAAATTAGTCGCTTAGACCTACCGATAGATACCAATGTTGTTTCTTTTTATATCAAAATGTTGGGTTTCAAAGTTACCGATTTTTGTCGGTAACTCAAAAAATGGATTAGAGAATCCCACTACTGAATGTTGTAACATTGGAATCGATATGACTAAACTGTGGGTACCCGCTAAGTCACTATCGAACCTTGGGAAAAGGATGATAGGAATGCAGTCACTTTTAATGACGTAACGGTGATTTAAGTAAGATTTCTTCCCACCGAGGTAGTACCGTCACAATTTACGATGGATAATGTTGAGAATATCATCCAAAACGCTTAGTCATGCAAAGCGTTGGACACATTCGAAATATCTACTGATCCCAGAGTTAGTGAATTTAAAGTGGAAGTCAACAGGTTGGTACAGAAGCACAAGCGGAAAAAGTGGCTAGAACATCTGAAGTGTTGCAACATTGGAACTTAAATAAGTAATCTGTGGGGAAGAGTTAAGTCACTCTTGAATCCTGGGAAAAAGGGTGATAGGACTGTAATCACTTTTAACGATGTAATGGTGACTGATCCGAAGAGGTGCTCTGGCCGTTTTAATCGCCAATTTGTCGCGAACACCTAGAGTAATGGGGCGAATAAGATTTTTTCCCGCCGAGGGGTACCATCACAATTTACGATGGATAATGTCATCAACAACACTAAGCCTTGCAAAGGGTTGGGCCCATACGGAATATCTACTGATCCCATAGTCAGTGAATTTAGAGTGGAAATTATGAGGTTGGTACAGGAGCACAAGCGGAAAAAGTGGCTAGAACATCTTAAGTGTTGCAATATTGGAGCCTAAATAAGTAAACTATGGGGAAGGGTTAAGTCACTCTCGAACCCTGGGAAAATGAAGGACTGCAGTCACTTTTAACGACGCAACGGTGATTGGTCCGATGAGGTGCTCTGATCATTTAAATCGTCAATTTCTCGAGCACCACCAGAGAGTGTTTGGGCGGAACAGAGAGTAATACGTCCTATAAGATTTCTTTTTCTGCCGAGTAGGTACCACAACAATTTACGATGGATGATGTTACGAATGTCATCCAAAACGTCATTCAGAGCATTATACCTAGTCAGAATATCAAATGTAATGTTAAAGCAGTTGGATTCACCGAGAGTTGAGTATCTCAATAAAGTCCTCAACAGTTGGCCAGCCACATATTTCCCGAAGCCTGGAAAAATTGCATGTTGTCCCATCAATTTCACTTTTGTCGCCAGTATTTAAAACGCTTGAGGATTTACTCCTTCCCATCCTTAGAGGAAGTTCTCCAATTGCTAACAACACGGTTTCCGCCAACGCTATCTGTGATAAATTGAAAAGTAGGAACAAGGTCGTAAAGGCGCTAGCCTGCAGCACTTATAAAGCAATAGGTCGGTCTGTGCTCAGCTATGCGGCACCAGTATGGTCTGTGAATACGAGTGCAACACAATGGGAAAATATTCAGACCTGCCAGATTGCCGCCCTGAGAACTGCAACAGGGTGCCTCCTGTTGACCATTTAGATGAGGATACAAGGGTTTTTCTCTTATGTCAACATAATCATATGCTTTCGTTGCAGTACCTGCTTGGGTGTTACCGTAGTAGTCATCCTAAATTTGATGTTTCAGTCCCTCACATACGTAATATGCACCCCACAAGAATGATATTTGGTTCCAGATATCAGATACAGCCCAGAAATACCTCTGCCAAATTGTATCGAGATCGGTTCAGATTCAGATATAGCTACCATAAATATCTTCAACCGATTTGTGGTTAATTGTGCACCAAATTACCAATATCAGTCCAAATAACCTGCATTTTTGGCACATCCGACCGAATTCAGTCTAGAAGTAAGTACATCCAATTTGGTGAAAGTCAGTTCAGTTATAGCTATAGCTCCCATATATATGTTTCATCCGATTTGGTCTTTAAGTCCCTCACATTCGTAATATGCATTCGACAACAATGATATTTGGCACCAGATATCTCGGAGATACCTTTGTCAAATTTTATCGAGATCGTCTAAGATTCGGATATAGCTCCCATATATATCATTAATATGATTTCAGGTTTATTGTGCAAATAATGGCTAATATCAGCCCAAATGGACGTACGTTTCCATATGGCGGAACCCGTCTCCGGCATTGTTTTTAACATAATCCTGCTCGAAGTGATATTACGCACTCTATAGCAATGTTATTTGGTATAAAAAAAATTTCTCCGCCAAATTTAGTGAAAATCGTTTCAGAATTGGATATACCTCCCATATATTAGTTCCCACCGAAACCAAGTTATAGCTGCTCTAAAGCCAAATGTTGATAAGTGGTATGACCTCCTTCAAATATATTCTTTTGTTACGGGAGCTCTACTAAATATGCATAGTGGTGTAGGGTATCATATAGTCGGCTCCGCCCGACTTTTGACTTTTCCTTACTGGTTACACTTCGGAATTTTTTGGTATAAGCAGGTTTCTAGGTTATTTTATTTCTTTGTTTCACCTGGTTAGCCCAAAGAGGTATTTGTTTAAATTTTTATTTGAAAATGTCCTTTTTTTATAACACTGAAGTTTATATATTGTCTTGAAATACCTAAAAATCCTGTTCTCCTTTCCTTTTCTTATTTTACAGGCTGCTGCTTTAAAACCAGTATCAATGAGCCCCGTCAACGATGAACCTGAGCCTACCGTTATAAATGCTGCGAAAAAACCAAGGATTACACTCGTTGCTACCCCTCCACCACCACCTCCGCAGCAGCCCCAACCACAGCCCGAACCTGTTAAAGTTGTGGAACCAACACCTCCTCCCCCACCACCCGTTCCAGCACCGGCTCCAGCACCACCGAGTAATCCAAACGAAAGAGACGAGTCTCATGTCTTTGCCGAAGGATGGGCCATCATGTATCGGAAACTAACAACGGAACAGAGAATTTTCGCCAAACGTTTAATCGACGAAACTCTGATGCACGGCCAGCTGGGACAGCTGACAATGTCGACCAGTCTAAATCAAGATCCAATATCGATTTCACGCAACCGTTTTCCCATACAACATCAAGTCAAAGAAGATGAATATATTGACGATGGCTCCTATTCGGAGACATGAAAGTTTTTCGTGTTTAGATGTTATGATAATAAAAATAATAAAGAATGTTTTCAAAACCCAAACTTGATTTTTTTGTAGTTATTGTAATACCTGGCAATCGAAAAATTCGAACGTACCTGGAAAGATAAGAAAGGATAGAATATTAATAACTTGTTAGTGAAGAGAATATTTTAATATCAATAGATTTTTTTTGTAGTATTCCGATATACCCGTATAAAAATAAGAAGGTTTCCTTTTACAGGAAAAAAATCTTTATCTCAGAGAGACTGAAATTACCACAATAGAGAATTAATTTAAATAATATGCCAGAAGCTACTAGTTTTGCATTTTTTTTATTATATAAATAAAACAAGAAAAAAAGCTGTAAGTTCTGTCAGGTCGAACTATGAATTCCCTGCACCATTTGGAACGTATTTTTCGAAAATTTCCAAAAAATTAAAATCCATTAAAAATTCTGTTAAACTCTTAAAAATACCGAATGTAGCCGTTATATTAGGGTCTATACGACCACGTGAACCTGACAACTTTTGTACTAAGACATTGCAATATTCAAATGCGAAACTTGAAAAAAATCGGTGAATAATGTAGCGAAAGTCAGAAAAAACCGAATGTAGGGAGGTATACCAAAACGTGGACCTGCAGAGACACTTATCTGTCATAGGTTGTAGTCTCCATTACGAACTTCAAATACCAAATTTGAAAATATCCCAGTGAATAATGTCGCTAAAATCATCAAAGTGCCGAATTTCGGGAGGTACCATTATATAGGGGCAATACAAAGACGTAGAACTGCACAGGATACTTAGCCTATAGTATCCATTACGAACTTCAAATACAAACATATACATAGAGAGAGAGAGAACCCTCGAAATAGGTCAAATCAGGAGGTACCTTTATATGGGCGCTACTTCGAAACATTGCCATTGAAAATTTTCTAATTGAAAAATATGGCCAAGACCACGGAAATAGCTGAAATTTGCGGAGTTTGGAGCAAAATTTACTCTTCTGGGGCAGTGCAAATCCGCGTGTAACCCACGAAGAGCCATTACACCCGCTCTAAGTCACTGGATGGCGTGTTGTTTCCGCGGGAGGAGTCATCAGACCTTTTCTGTGCGAAGACGTCGCTGGCCAAACCGTTACTGTGAATGGTGAGCCCTACAAAGCAATGATCAACGACTTCTTTTTGTCCGCCATTTGATGAGTTGGGATTGGAAAATATGGGGTTCCGACAGGACGGTGCTGGCGTGGGCCGATAGTGTCCATTTTCGCACCAGACCTAGCTCTGATGCAAATATTACGATGTGCCAAGTTGGAGCAAAATCGGAATATCGTTTCTCTTTCTGTACAAAAAAAAATTATTATACCCTCCACTTTGGAAAGGAAGGTATATTAAATTTGTCATTCCGTTTGTAACATCCTTAAATATTCGTCTTAGACCCCATAAAGTATATATATTCATAATCAGCATAAAATTCTAAGTCGATTTAACGACGTCCGTTTGTCTGTCTGTCCGTCTGTTTGGCTGTCCGTCTATCTGTCTGTTGAAATCACGATACAGCCCACATTATTTGACGTAGAGCGCCAAAATTTAGCAGAGCTATTTGCATTGTGTCTAGGATGGTTGGTATTGAAAATGAGATATATCGGTCCACGTTCTGGTATAGTCCCCATATAACGGTACCTCCTGATATTCGGTAATTTGATGATTTTTGCCACATTTTTTCACGGATTTATCTAAAAATTGGTATTTGTTGGTCATAATGGGTCCTATTTTGTGTAGCGAAACATTGTAATTATAGGTCCACGTTTTGGTGTAGCCCCCATATAACGGTACCTCCCGATATTCGGCATTTTAATGGTTTTTGCCACATATCTCCTAATGTTTCTTTTACCCTAAGGTGGAGAGTATTAAAAGTTTGGCCCGGCCGAACTTAATGTTTTTTTACTTGTTTTTTTTTTTTTTAAAGATCGACCTTTTGTGGGGGAGGTTCCAGAAGGAGTGGACCGGTGTGAGGGAATTACTTGACGGGGTGGAGCGATATTGTCCATTTCCACACCTGACCTAGCACTGACGTAAATATTAGGATTTGCAAAGTTGGAGCAAAATCGGATTATAGTTTCTCTTTCTGTGCAAAAAATATTTTTTTTGAAAATTTCGACCATTTGTGAGGTGGGTACCAGAAGGAGTGAACCGATATTGCCCATCTCCGAACTCGATCTAAGTTTGACAATAATATTACAATGTACCAAGTTTGGACCAAATCGGATACTCCTTTCGAGTGTTATCGTGCGCACCAGCTAGACAGACAGACATATGGACGCACGGACGTATCGCTAGATCGACTCCAAATGTCCTGAAACGTTATTTTGATGATACACTTTTTGGCCGTATCGAATGATGTATACCCTCTCTAGCCATATGGCTGAAGGTACAAATTCTACTATTTAAAAAAAGTGAATGATGAAAGAAGAATATTTAATCGGAACTATTTAGAATGAAAGATCTATATTAAGGAACTAGTTCCTTATGAGAAAAGGAACGAGATAGATCGATCCGCTTTGTCAACTAGATTGCCCAAATCTAATCGTCGCTATGCCGTGGAAAAAAATTCCAGATTCCGACAGCGGTTAATTACACCGCCAGTAATGGAATTCTCTTTTTGAGTTTCCGACAAAAGTCGGTAAAATTTAAAAAACTTATAATGTCGGCAATTAACGAAAATTTTCGGTAAGATAGCGACGAAATCAAAGTAGTTGCTAAGACCTACCGATAAATACCAATGTTGTCAACATTAACTTATTTTTTATACCCTCAGCCATATGGCTATATATCATTTGATAGGGTCAAAACGTGCCTAGTCGAAATAACGGTTTTAGGCCCTAGGTCTCTTTGGGCCAAATCCGTTTCAGAACATTTGGAGTCGATCTACCGATGTCCGTCTGGCTGGTGCGCACGATAACTCTCGAAGGGAGTATCCGATTTGATCCAAACTTGGTACATCGTAATATTTTTGTCAAACTTAGATCGAGTTCGGAGATGGGCAATATCGGTCCACTCCTTCTGGTACCTCCCACAGCGGATCGATCTCTCTTGTTCCTTTATTGCACAAAGAGAGAAAGGATAATCCGATTTTGCTGGAACTTTGCGAATCCTAATATTTTCATCAGTGCTAGGTCATGTGCGAAAATGGACAATATCGGTCCACTCCATCAGGGACCTCCCCCACAAAGGGTCAAAATTTTGGATAATTAAAACTCTTATAAAATGTGATGTAAGAGTCCGATAGTCTTCAAATTTCACATATCCCAATAATTTTATTAGTCCAAGGTCTGGTGTTAACATGGAATGTATCGGCACACTCCTTCTGGTACCTCCCCCACAAAGTGTCGAAATTTTAAATAATCATAAAGCTCATAAAACTCCAAATTAACATCCGATTCCATTTAGACTTTGCACATCTCAACATTTCTATTAACACAAGATCTGTTATAAAGATGGTATAGATCGAACCATTTCTTCTCCCCATAGGGTTCAAGATTTTGAAAAACGAACGCCGAAATAAAGCGAAATAAATATCCAACTCTCTTCAAATTTCACACACACAAATATTTTTGCTAACACAAGATCGGTTGTGAAGTTGATATATATCTGCCAACCCCTTCTGGGGTCACAATTTTCAATAATTTTATCTGTCATAACTTTCGAAACAATTTAGCAATTCTTTACTACTTGCTATGCTCAAATATATCTCTAAATAAGAAGCCTGATATGAATATGAAATTTATCGGAATTTATGATTTCGCATAAAAATGGACATAAATATCCTTTCTTTTATTTTTGCCAAATATTTCGCTCAATATTTTTTATTTGCATCAGATGAAGTATAAAAGTGGCATATTTCGGTAGACTCTATCTTGTACATCACTCACATTTTAACATTTTCTAAAAATTATTACATATCTCATATATAGTGAAGGAGTTAGTCGATATAATCCATACCAGGAAGGTCGGAATATTTATATCATATTTTGGGGTCCGATAAGAAATAGACAATATTGGCCCATTCCCTCGGAACCTGCTCCATACAGGGTAAAGCGTTTGAGTAATTGTAACACTAGTAAAATTATATTTAAATAATCGAACACAGGCTGAGGTTATATATCTGTCGGCGATACTTTTTAACTTGTTAAATCAAAATTTGGGTTTCACAGTTGCCGATATTTGTCGATAACCCAAAAACTGAGTTAGAGAATCGCACTACAGGCATCGGTATATAATCTCTTCGATTTTCTGGAGGCGTTATCCGGAGTTCTGTCCCATCCCGAATATTGTGAAGAACTGAAACCACATAGAATCTATTTTTTAAAGAGTTTATTAAGTCTCCAAAAGACGATACAGAAGATTAAATCCTCTTCTACATCGGAAACATGCCCTAGGAATAAATCCCCAAGATATTAGTTTCACTAACAGGAATGGAAATATAACCTCTCTTTTTTCGGGTATTCTGCTCAATATGCAGGATTTACGTCCTAGAGAAAATATTTCGCTGAAATTTGCCATGAAGGCCGGTCGTTGATCCGATTAACTGAGCTTCGGAAGTAATAAAATTCCCCAAATATCCAATTAACTGGGCCAGCTGAAAATTTTCATTTGATCCATCAACAGCTCGCGAAACACCCAATCTCCATCCAACAAACGAACTCAATTAAAAGTCTTAACCAAAGTAGAATACATACAACCCGAATTCCAACTCATCGTTCGTGTTGTGTGTGAAATGAGACAAATTTGTGAATTTCTTTCGGAAACGAAGTGTTGTGAACAATTTTCTGGGCGCCGCATTCCCTCGGCGGCAGGCCATGTAGCCACTGCTGTACTGATCTGAACGGGAACGTTGATGCACGACGACGTCAACAATGACAGTGGATGCTTTAAACGGCCGGCATAACTAAGCCTACTAAGCAAACCTACCAACCAGTCATCTTCACTGGCTGGCTGTCTAAACAACGTAACGAGGCACTTGCTTGGCGCGCCTCAGTTAGTTTCAAAAA